CCCTACACGCTTTGACTGCTAAAGGGGTAAGGTTTCACTGGGGGCCAGGAGGAAGAGGCTGCGTTCTGCTCCCTTCGGGACGACTTGGTGCGGGCTCCTCCCTTGTGTTACCCCGATTTCACGCAACCGTTCTTGCTTGACACGGATGCTAGTAATACGGGTATCGGGGGAGTGCTCTCACAGGTGGTCGGGGGGGGTCGAACGGGTGGTCGCCTACGGTAGCAGAGTTTTGTCACCTGCGGAACAACGCTACTGTGTGACACGCCGTGAATTGCTAGCGATTGTTTTTTTTATCCAGCAATTCAGGCCGTATCTCTACGGCCGTCATTTTACTGTCCGTACGGACCACGCGGCTCTCCAATATGCAATGCGGGTGGCGCAACCCTCCGGTCAGTTGTCCCGATGGCTGGAGGTCCTCCAAGACTACCAGTTTACGACTATTTACCGAAAGGGATTGCGGCACTCGAATGCGGATGCTTTGTCGCGTTTGTCGCCTCGCTCGGAATGTGCATGTCTTCTGGAATCGGCGCGGTGTAAACCCCCTGTCGCCACCCCCGCGGGAGTTTTGCTCGCTGCCACTGACGCTCCGCGGGTCGACGCGCTGGCCGCTCCCACGGCCGGGGACTCGTTGCTCGCGTTGCCTCTTATTGAGTGGGGCCGTCTCCAAATGGCCGACAGCTCCCTGCTCACGTTGCGTCGGAAGGCAGAGGCTCCCGGGGAGGGGAAGTCGCGGGTAAATTCCTGGGTGGTCGGACAGGGCCTCCTGATGAAGTGGGATAATATGTCCCTGCGTCATATGCTCGTTGTGCCATCTGTTATGCGGGGTAGAGTCGTTCTGGCTGCTCATGAACGACTCATGCATTTGGGATTCCATAAGACGCTCGCCCTACTCCAACGGGACTATTATTGGCCGAGTATGGGGAGCGACGTGGCAAACATCCTCAAGGGATGTGTGGGGTGCGCTAAAAAAAAACCGCCACCAATAGCGGCTAATCCACCGCTACAATCCATCCAGGTTTCGCGCACGAACGAATTGGTTGCGCTCGATATCTTAGGGCCCTTTCCCGCTACACCTAGGTGTAACAAGTACCTGCTGGTTGGCGTTGAATACTTCACCCGATGGCCCATGGCGTGGCCACTCGCCAACCAGTCGGCTTCGGCAGTGGTAGACGCCTTTGTCCAGGGCTATGTTTTGGACAAAAGCGCTTGCTGACGGATCAGGGAAAGAATTTTTTTAGCGTTTTGTTGCGCGAGGTGTGCGACCTGCTGGGTATGAAGAAAGTGCGTACCTTCCCGTATCACCCGCAGACTGATGGCATGGTTGAACGTCTAAACAGGACGATTACTTCTATGTTGTGCCAACAGGTCTGCAACAATCAGGTTGATTGGGATTTACAGGTACCCGGGGTGCTCGCGGCCTATCGAATGGTACCCCATGCGGCGACAGGGTTTTCCCCATTTTTTCTCATGTATGGGCAGGAGGCCGATCCGCCCATGGATGTCCAACTGGGGATTTCCCAGCCACGTGAGAAGTCTAAATTGGCCAACCACATCAAATTCAATATTGCCAAACTGGCTGAAGCGCGAGAGGCTGCGAGGTTGAATTCGAGGTCTCGCCAGGTCGCTAACGAGAGATTGCACGCGCGAAAGGTGTATACGCACGATTGGAAACCAGGCGATAAGGCCTGGCTGCACTGCCCACATGCACCGTCGGCTACGTCCCCTAAACTGTTGGGACCATGGAGGGGACCTGTGGAAATCGTGCGTATTGCGCGACCCCAGAGTATCCAGATTAAATGGGGAAAACGCCGTTGGTATGTACACCCCTCCCGGCTGAAACCCTTCGCAGCACCCCATGGCCTCCCCTTGTGCCGTAACGACCGAGCGTGTGATGTGGCCGTCGACTCGGGGAGGGATGTCTCGCGGTCTGATCCTCACGTGTCTCCGCCTGACCCACTCCCAGGTGTCTCGGACTTGACGGTTGCTGATCGTCGTGAACCGGAACCCCGAGGCACGCGCGGATCTCCGATGCCTGGCCCATGCCTTCCTGGACTGCCGGCGCCACGGGACGATCAACCGCGTCTGGTGCCGTACGACGGACCGGCCAGGCGGACTCGTGCTAAGTCACAACACTTTTTTTGAAAAAAATATATATATATTTAATAAACAGGGGGCCGAGATTGCAGCTCGTCGCCACGTCCCCCTTCTGCCCAGTATAATGTCCCGTTCAAGGGGCGGTCGGGAAGGAAGGGACACTGCACGAGTCATTTTTTTTTGTGTATATACGTTTATTGTTGTCGCTCGTCGGGTTATACATATTGTTCTTGTTGTTACGGTTCCTTGTTCTGTTCTTGCGGATGGCAGAGTTTTATTGTGTTGTGTTGTTGTGATTATTGCTTACGTTACGGGGCACACACACAGAGGGGAGGGTAATAAAAAAATTTTTAGCAGCCGGGTCGGCTGCGAGCTATGTGGTAGGGGGTGATGTAGTGGCAGTACGCGCTGACAAAAGGGGCGGCGTGCGTGTGAGCGCGCCGGGCGTGGCTACGTCAAGAGTGGTGGTGTTGACACGCGCCGACAGTGATAGATTACGGGGCGGCGCGGGGTGCGTGGTTGTGCGCGCTGACACCATGTGGGAAATAGGATCGTAGGCAGCACGCAGTGATTGGTCAACTGGGGTGGGTGCTCTCAGCGACGTCCGCATGAAGGAATATAAAGGAGGACGCGCGGGAGCACTCAGGGAGTTGATAACCAGTTGAAGATCGAAGACGGAGCTGAAGAGATAGGGCCCCGAGACCCCTGGTCCCGCGGTCCTTATAAGGGCCAGGACGCTGTGTGGTTCGGAGGCGAGGCTGTGGGACCCGTGGTCTGACGTCCATGTGGGACGAGGCTGTGGGACCCAGAGTCGAGACGGATACCCCGGTTGGGTGGGTTCCGAGAGCTACGGGGCATAAGAGCCCGTGAGGGTGTAGCCAAGGGAGCCCCGTGTGTCAGGCTGTACTTAGCCACCCGTGTAATGAGAAGTTGGTGTTAATAAAAAGGTGTGCAACCCGTGAAGTCGTCTCCCGCCAAGTTCATACTTTACACATTTAACAAATTGTATTGGAACAATGGTGCGCGGCAGTGTGCCTGCTTCAGCAAATGCTTATCAATTGGCTAAGGCTTCAATAACTTCGTGGGCAAGATTCTGTGATCAAAATAAATATTTCAACACAATAGTCTCCCTGTGAGTGTGTAGATTCGTAACGTAGGTTTCTAAAAGTTTAGTTTTCATCGATGATTTCATTGGTAAAATGTATGCAATTAAAAAGAAAAATAACGACTAATACTTCTAAACGACAGTATCCACGTAACTGTGGGGGTCGCTAGCCCCCGAGATCCCTCCCTCAATAATGCTAACGGCCGGGCTAACATCATCAATCGCCCCCCCGCTGCTAAGCGAACCGCTGCTAGGTCCCTCACCCATGGTGTGGGAGCCGTCGCCCGAGGATTCCCCTCCACCTCGGGTCCGCGTAGCAGGCATGGTTAATTACGCACGTGCACACCCACACACAGCTCTGCACGGCACTCACTCAACACTGACCACTCGCGTTAGGATCGCGCACCTGTATTACACACGTTCACACTTATAACACGAGATCACACGAGGCCACGAAAACGGGGCACACGCCGACACAACGACTCAAGTTGCCGCCGCCGTGCGCGCGAGATAAACCGTACAACAATGCGCAGCCGATTACGCGCTCGAGCCGCGGGGTTGGGGGTCAGGGACCCACCACCGCGCCGCACTTTACGCACGTAACGAGCACACGCAAGCGGGGCACACGCCGACACAACGACTCAAGTTGCCGCCGCCGTGCGCGCGAGATAAACCGTACAACAATGCGCAGCCGATTACGCGCTCGAGCTGCGGGGCTGGGGGTCAGGGACCCACCACCGCGCCGCACTTTACGCACGTAACGAGCACACGCAAGCGGGGCACACGCCGACACAACGACTCAAGTTGCCGCCGCCGTGCGCGCGAGATAAACCGTACAACAATATGCAGCCGATTACGCGCTCGAGCCGCGGGGCTGGGGGTCAGGGACCCACCACCGCGCCGCACTTTACGCACGTAACGAGCACACGCAAGCGGGGCACACGCCGACACAACGACTCAAGTTGCCGCCGCCGTGCGCGCGAGATAAACCGTGCAACAATGCGCAGCCGATTACGCGCTCGAGCCGCGGGGTTGGGGGTCAGGGACCCACCACCGCGCCGCACTTTACGCACGTAACGAGCACACGCAAGCAGGGCAACACGCCGACACAACGACTCAAGTTGCCGCCGCCGTGCGCGCGAGATAAACCGTACAACAATGCGCAGCCGATTACGCGCTCGAGCCGCGGGGCTGGGGGTCAGGGACCCACCACCACGCCGCACTTTACGCACGTAACGAACACACGCAAGCGGGGCACACGCCGACACAACGACTCAAGTTGCCGCCGCCGTGCGCGCGAGATAAACCGTGCAACAATGCGCAGCCGATTACGCGCTCGAGCCGCGGGGCTGGAGGTCAGGGACCCACCACCGCGCCGCACTTTACGCACGTAACGAGCACACGCAAGCGGGGCACACGCCGACACACAAAAGTGCTCTCCCCGGGCGTTAACACACACACCTCCGTACCCGCACAATCGTACAGAGACCACGGCCTTTACGCATACAACGACCACACACCCGCGAATGCCGTGCACGCTAATACCACGTTCAAAAACACCCAACAACACGGTTTTGTTACTACGCTCGAGATTTTATTAGCCCTTGTTAACCCACCGAGCCACCCGTGTGTGTGTGCGGGCCAGCAAGGCGCTTCTAACCCACTCTCCAGTGGCGTACAGCCCTATTCTATGCTGCGCTCTCTGTTAAACCGCTTTCCTACTCGTCCTTACCCCGAACTAACCCTCTCCTACGGATCCTACTCTCCGCTCTGAGGTGCTGTAAGGCGCGTAATACGATACCGTCTGTAGTCCTAGGTGACCTTGCGGCGCTCAGGTCGTCCTGCAGACGATCTGGCGGCTCGCCCGATGACTCCCTCGTCGTTGACCCCGTGTCACTACTCCAGAAGAAGAGAAGTTCCCTACTGCCCCTGCGTTTTCTTTTAAACTATCCACATCAAAGGCTAGGTGCCCCCGTCCCGACCGCCTTGGTCTCTCGACCAATCCTGAGCCTAGGATTTCCCGCCCTTTTGCGATCCCGCCAGCCTTTGACCTTTTGACCAATCAGTAGCCCCGGGTCCTGATCCCAGCTATCTGCCTTGCTGACCCGTGTTTGTGTTTGTATGCGTTTCTAACTGCGGGGCTCTCTGAGCTCGCCGTGGTCGTGCGATCTCAAATCCGCCCACGGCGCCGCAGTGTTACTTAGCCTGGGAAGGGTCCTGTCCAATTCCCTGGCCCTGAGAAACCGTGGGGTAACCCCCCGAGGGGGCCCTCGGGTGAAAACTCAGGGTAGGTGACCCGACCACAAGGCCCTACGTGGGTGCGGGTGCGTGCTCATGTGGGGGGGGGGGTGATGGGGGGCAGTGCAGTGGTGGAAGCCGGGCGGCTCCCTGGCTCGGCAGAGCGGCCCCGTCGTTGTGGTACCACATAACTCAATGGGCAGCAATGTTCTTCATGATCAGCTATTAGTTTATGCGCCCTTATCATTAGTCTTCTTATTATTACTCCGGGTATGTGTTTCATGTGTGTGTAGTGGTTTGTCTTCTTGTTCAACTCTGTTGTGTTAAGCAGACGCCGGGCGATGCGTCGTGAGTGTGTGAGTGTGGGGGAGGGTCATAAGAACAGCTTCCTCGCTCTCTCTCTCTCTTTGAGGCAGCAGCAGTTTTTGTCCACTGCTGGAGGAAGGGAGTCGGCACAACGTTCGCCGTCGGTGGTGCGCGATGATTCCGTCGTCAGATAGCGCCCGCAGCTCGTTCGCTGGTTGTCGTTCCTCACTCTTGTCTTGGTTCCCAGCTGGTGCTGGTCGGCGTGTGTGTGTGTCGAAGACACGGCGCTCTAGCCGGCGCTCTCCTCTTCCTCACTGGCGGCTGGTCAGGCTCTTTCCCCTGCTGGATGAGCTGAGTCGGCACAACGCTTGTCCACTGGCAGCTGACACCCTTGCTCGGTGGCGCTCGGTGGCGCTGCTTCGTGCTCTGGCGGTGTACGATTGCGCGTGCAGCTGGTTCTCTGCGATGCTGGCTTGGACGATGCTTGGTGCTTTCTGCTCTTTCTCGAGGTTGATTGCTTGTCATTGCTCTCTTTGATCGTGCAGCTGATGGGGGCACTCAGTGTAGAATGACTTTGAGCGATACTTCTTCTGTCAGCGCTGAACTCGGACTCGGTGACCCGTCCCTACTCAGCAAGCCTCGCCATCCTTGGTTGATTGCAGAGTATCACCCCGGAGCCTGCTGCTTGCAGTACTCAACTCTTTGCGTTGACTTCGTAGACTCGTGGCCTCTGCTGGTGCAGCTCGTTGACGATGTGCCAGTCACGGGGGCAGGTTCCCGGAGCCTGCCTATCGTAGCCCTGCTGGCTTGTGAGAGCTGGCACTCACTCTCAAAATTTGTAAATTGTATTCGCACACCTCTTACACAACTCTGATAGCTTAGTACAATACAACTTATGTAGTGTTTACAGTACTTTCATCGTGGTGTCTGATGCTTATTTTTAAGGGGAGATGCCCTCTGCATGCGTATACAAATTTCTATCACGTGCTGCTGGGAGACAAAGGCGGTTAGGAGGCTCTCTCTCTATGAGATGCATTTATCTTGGTTATGTGTGATTGACCTGGATGACCCTTGGTCTAATACTTCATAATTATTATTTGGTTTGTGTTAATCAAGATTTGTAATTTAGCATTGTTATTGCCCGTATTCTTAGAGTTTTATTAACCTTTGTTGTCTCTCTGCATCCAGGGATTTGTGCTGTTTTACTCGAGTCATATTTTGATGTCCTGAGGTTAGAGGTCTCACAAAGTTTTCACTTAATCTTTCTTGACTGCTGGAATTCATATTCCTTGATTTTGTAAAGTCACGTAGATAGCAAGATACAACAAGAAACAATATGTGAGGTGAATGAGAGTCAAATAAGGTAATTAATAACAAAGGCCACCAATGTGACTGCAGTCTGGTTCCTTCACTGAGTGTGTGTATACTATTATGTCGACTCATTCTTGTCGCTAAGTTTTTTTACTTTTCCGTTAACTAAAATAACCTAAAAAAGTTGTCTGTTCGGTTTTTGCCGCCCGGGAAGCTGGTGATGCCTGTTTTTTTGTTTAATTACCTTTCATGGCTTATCGCCAGCTTGGTCGGTGTGAAAGGCATCTGCTCGTGGAAGGGAGGGTGTGCCCCACCCTTTTATGTCCCATGCTCGCCCCTATCAGTTATTAAAAACAAATATTGGAAGAATTACTCTTAATATCAATTTTGGGAAAATACCTATATATACTTATTCTTAGGTTTTTTTCGGTAAAGTCACGTAGGTAAAAAATTAAAATTAATAAAAATAAAATAAAAATAAAATAAAAATCACGACGTTTCGGAGACAACACAAGCTTCCGTCTTCAGGTGGAACCGTCACAGCACGATTGCTGCATCAAGTACGAGAAATTCCAAGAAAACAGCCCCTGTATTTATACTGGTTGAGGGTGGGAGGAGCCAAGGCAGGCCCCTGGACACCATCACTGTGAGGTTTGGTGCGGCTGAAGCACGCCGCTAGGAATGAGCCTTTGTTGTGTAGACTGGTTGAACTGGGAGGTTCCAAGAGTTAAGGTGCGGCTGATGCAAAGGTTCGTGTAAATGGGACTGAGCCTTTGTTATGTAGAGGTGGTCCGGCTGAAACCGCTGCTAGGAATGAGACTTTGTTGTGTAGACTGGTTGAACTGGGAGGTTCCAAGAGTTGTCAAGGTGCGGCTGATGTAAAGGTGCGGCTGCTGTGAATGGGACTGAGCCTTTGTTATGTAGATGAAACAGCACTTTTCTACGTTGCTGGTATTAATTCTAGATTTGCCAAATATGTGTGGTAAAACTTAAAGCAGGAAAACCAGTGTGTGAAAAAGAAGAAACTATACCTATATATACAACAATAGGACGAATGAGTGTACCCTCAGCCGTGGCAGATCACTGTTACAATTCAGTGGGCTCACATGATATTGACTTCTCCAAGACAGAGGTTCTCTGCAAGCCATCTGGCTACCATGAGAGATTCGTTCATGAGGCGATCCACATATACAAACACAGAGACAATTTCAACCGAGAAGATGGATTCTGGCTCAGCAATCATTGGAAGGACGTAATAAACCATTTCGGATCTTAACTGATTGTGTTCACGTTTACGGTGACTTTCAGACCGCAGTCCACTCACTAGCATTGCCTATATATCTTGTATTCTCCGCAGGGAATGGATTCTTTGCTCCACTGCAAGCCTTCTATCACCACTCTCCCATTGACATATTTCGTTGCTTCCTCTTAGTACCTTTCACGCGACGGTCAATGGTATAGTGTATAGCAGATTGTATAATAATAAATAGTATACAAGTCTAATGTTTAATACAATGTATAAGGTAATATATAGTATCGTAATTGTATAGTGAATTTACAGCAGTGTGGTATACAGTAGGGTAGAATAATACATAGTGTAATATTACATTGTATAGTCTATAAGCATATTAGTTGCTGCAGCTCCATACTATTAACATTCCTTCCCTTTATTAATGCTAACCTTACTCCCTCCCTTTGATGCTACTAATCCTGCATAATGCACAGGCATATTATGACTTTGAAACCCCCCGCCCACCTCCTACGCATTCCACAAGTAATGACTAATCCTATATCTGAATTTCCCATAAATATGCTAAATTCCTCTTGATATGCAAATTATTTTGTCAAGGCTCGCTTCCCCCCTCCATTCCAGCTTAAATAGACGCCCCAAGCCTGGGGTGTTTTCATTCAGACTCTGTCTTCTCGACAGACCTGTTCTCCACCTGAGGACAGCTGCTTGCGTTGTGGCCGAAACGTCGTGAGAAATATTTTTTATAATTTTATTATTTCCATTCTACGTGACTTTACCGAAAGAACCAAGAAGATGAATTCCTGCAGTCACGAAAGCTTTAAATCGAGTGTATCCTATTTATAGATTTTTGGTAAGCCATACAATCTGGGTGGTCTAGCTGCAGAGGGTTTTAAGGAAAATCGCTTGGTTGGTTCGATTAAAGATGTCCAATCGGTTATATTTTTGTTTTTTATAACGAGGCGGTTGGTGGGATCTCTTAAAATGTTTATATTGCTACCATCATTAAGTAAGTCTTGAATTTTGTTATTGTATGTGGTTTTGTCCATGATGACTGTGGCATTGTCCTTGTCGGCTGAGAGGATGACGATGGCATCTCTCTTTTTTAATTAAGTTCAAAGCGCTCATCCTTACTGATGTTGCTAATAGGTGTCTGAGCGTGTTTGAGGATTACCTCCTGACGACAATCGCGTGTGTTGTGATCGAAACGTATTAGTTAAAACAAATTTTTCTTTTTTTTTAACCTATCTACGCGACTTCTACCCCTTGCTGAAAAACTCCTTCCTGAATCCCAGAGTGGCCTCCGACCTGGCAGGGGAACTTCAGCCATGATCTTCTCAGCCCGTCAAATCCAAGAGAAGTGCCAGGAGCAGAGACTACCACTGGACATGGCCTTTTTCAATCTGACTAACATAAGTGTCCTGGAGCGATCCAACTCATCCAGTACAGAAGCCATCATTATGAAGCACCAACTTAGATGGGCAAGTCACCTCATCAGGATGAATGATTCAAGGCTTCCTAAACAAATCTTCTCCTCCCAGCTCAGGGATGGATCCAGTGCCCCTGGTGGTCAAAATAAGCATTTGATCGAAACCTTAAACACACCTCAGGCAAAGCCATATATAGCCAAACAACTGGGAAATCTATGCCCTTGAGAGACCATCATGGAGGGCCAAAAGCAACAATGGAACTCAACACTTTGAGGCCGAACAAAGAGAATTGATAGCCGGGAAAAGAGCACGCTTCAAAGTACATACACATACACCAGAGACAGAGGCAACACGTCCGAGCTCCAGGATGAACACTTCACGTGGCCTCAAGGTGCACTTGGCCTGGCACAAGCGTCGTGGTGACGTCACCGCCACTTAGTGGCGACGTCACCGCCACTTAGTGGCGAATGGGGGTTGTTGTTGTATATGAGTGTGTGTCTGTGAGTGACTGTGTATATCTCTGAGTGAGTGTGTATATGAGTGTGTGACTGTGTATATCGCCGGTTGGAAACATTTAGGCTGGCCTGCCTACGATCCATCCTGCGTTTGACCAGGCTGGATTGTGTGAGGAGCTCACAAATCCTTGAAAGATCTGGGCAAAGTCCCATCGGTGAACTCCTCCGGCAAGCAAGGCTGCGTTGGCTGGGTCATGTAGGCCGCATGCCCAGCCACCGCATGTCTAAATAGCTTTTGTTTGGCCGGATTGAGGGGGCTAAACGGGCGCGGCAC